GTCTGCTTCTCCCTCTGACCCTCCCTCCGCTCATGTGCTCTCTCTCACTCTCTCTCTCTCTCAAATAAATAAATAAAATCTTTAAAAATAAATAAATAAAATTAAATAAATAAATAAAATCAACTACCTTGTTGAAAATCAATGTGGGTCTAATTCTAGGCTTTCTCTTCTGTTCTTCTGATCTGTGTGTCCTTTCACTGATGTGACACAGTCTGGATTGCTATAGCTTTATAGTAAGTCTTGAAACCAGGTCCCATGAATTCTACAACTAGTCCTTTTTCAAATTTGTTTTGGCTAATCTGGGTCTTTTGCAGTTCCATATGCGTTTCGGAATCAGTTTGTCAATAGACACAGGCCTATTGGAATTTTGAGTGGATTGCATTAAATGTGTTGATCAATTTGGCGAGAATTGACATCTTAACCATATTGACTATTCCAGTCCAGGAACATGATGTATCTTTTTATTTTGGTCTTTTTTAATTTCTCTCGGCAGTGTTTCATAATCTTCAGTGTACAGGTCTTACACATAAATTGTTGAATTTATCCCTAAGTATTTTGTTTATAATGCTATTATAAATAGTATTATTGGTAAAAAAGCATCGGTTTTAAGGTTTGTTTTCCATAAAGTTTTCTTCTTCTAGTATCTTGAATAAGGACAATATAAATTCTGAATAACCTTATAAGTTTTAGAGACTTACGACTAGAATTCTAAATGAATTAAGCAGATGTTCTTTCTCATACCGTATTATGTTTTATGGAATTACCTGAAGACTACATGAGCAGGTTGAACATTTCCAGTTGGTGGCTGAGATATTTTGAAATGTTAAGTTTGAAAGTTAATACATTCTAATTGTTAAAAGAAAAAGAAAGAAATTATAAGGACGAATGTCTAAGAAATTATAAAAATGGAGGTTTTTCACTTTCATTTGGTTTTATCAGGTAGAGTCCCTTTGGTGCCAAGTTATTCGGGTCAGCTCGAGCCGTAGGGATGTCTCAGGGCGATCAGTGGCCTCCTGTGGGATGTCCTGCCAGGACAGTGACACCAGGACTGACAAGCCACAGGATTGCCACTTCATTTCCCATCCCCACTTCATTTACCTATTTCTCTCAAGTTCATGGTCCCAAAAGTACAAGTCCAGTCAATGAGAGAGAGCCTGAATGGCTTTCTTGGCCCTAATTTCAAATTACAGAGAGATGGACTACAGGTCAGGTGCTCCTGGTTCTGTCACCGTTGGCTGGAGGAGCAGGGTTACATGGTATAAAATAGCTGCTGGAGTTGCTCTAAAGCTACCCAGTGTTGTTGGGGCACCTGGGTGGCTCAGTCAGTTAAGCATCTGCCTCCGGCTCTGGTCATGATCCCAGGGTCCTGGGATCGAGCCCCGCTTCGGGCTCCCTGCTTAGTGGGGAGTCTGCATCTTCCTCTCCCTCTGCTGCTCCCCCGCTTGTACTTTCTCTCGCTCTCCTGCTCTCTGTCAAATAAATAAATACAATCTTTATTAAAATAAAAAAGAAATGATATGAGTAGGACTTTGAAATACTGAGACAAATTTAAAATTTCTCTGATTTACATTTTTTTTAAAAGTATGAAGAACGTGTTATTTTTTTTTAAGATTTTATTTATATATTTGAGAGAGAGAATGAGCAGGGCAGAGGGAGAGGGAGAACCAGGCTCCCTGCTGAGTAGGGAGCCTGATGCAGGACTCCATCCCAGGACCCTGGGACTGACCTGAGCCGAAGGCAGATGCTTAACTGACTGAGCCACCCAGGCGCCCTTGATTTACACTTTTTTTTACTAAGGTATAATTGACATACATTATATGAGTTTCAGGTATACAATGTAACGATTTGATATTTGCACGTATTGTGAAATCATCACAGTACATCACGATACATAATTACAAAATTTTCTCTGATTTAAATTTTAATCAACTTGTTTCAGTATCTTGATGTTCTCTCTTTTTTTCCCTTGTTTTCCACTGTATAGATGGCTTTGGAAGATTCAGAACAGAAACACAGTCTTTTGCATTCAATTTTCTCGGATCTAGAAGACTTGTCAATAATTTTTGAAACCGATGATTTAGCACAGTCCGTACAAGAGTTAAGTCGTCAAGTAGCAGCTTTACAACAAAAAATCATGGAAAGCCTTCCACAGATTCAGCGGGTGGCTGATGTGAGTTGGCACTCTAAAGATGTGATTTCTTATTTTTAATTTATATTTCATTTAGTAAATTAGAGTTATACTGCTAATCAACTCCTAATTATATGAAGACATTGGTCTAGTATGTTTTTCATTTATGTTATTTCTTTTTTTTTTTTAAGATTTTATTTATTTTAGAGAGGGTGAGCGAGTAGGGGGAGGGGCAGAGAGAGAGAGAGTGGCAGAGAATCTCAAGCACACTCTATGCTGAGCAAGGAGCCTGGCACGGGGCTCGATCTCACAACTCTGACATCATGACCTGAGCCGAAACCAAGAGTTAGATGCTTAACCGACTGAGTCACACAGGTGCCCCTATGTTCTTATTTCTTGAATTATATTTTACTTTAATTTGCAACCCATGGTACATATCCCCATTCTCAGTCCAGAAATGGTCTATTTAAAGGAAAGAATCCTGATCAAAGAAACTCACTGTTTTCTCTTTGTCAGAGAGGTGATATTATTGATACAAAAGCACAGATTAGCAAAGAGGGAGTTAAACAGATAACCTCCCAAGTCTTTATTCACCAATAGCGAATATTTACTGTGGGGCTGCTATATGGCAGCCACAGGATTTTTAAATAATTTTATTTATTTTAGTTTGAAACGTGTGAGGCATTTATTTAAGGATGAAGTCACATAGCAAAGGCAGGTACAATTAGTCTTAATTATTTACTTTTTGTTTCTCAGTTACATTCCCTGCGTCACACTTAATGTAACTTCAGGGAATAATCATTGTTAAACATTCTTGGTTATTGAAGCTTATGCCAAGGTTTTTAAATGCTTTTACAATTTTTGATAGAAATTACTCTAAGAGATATTATATGCTTTCTTATATCTTTTTCAATATAAGAGGCAAAAAAATAATTCCAATATAATTTAACTTTTCTTCATAACTTGGAGATATCACTACAAAGTTGCTATACTCATTGTTTCATTTGCTTATAAAGTTACGTTTATCTGATATTAAATGGCTCCAAACTGCTTGAGTTTGAAACCCTCAGTCTATTTCTATGTAGTTTTTCCTATCCCCTTCATTATTAGCTGTACCTTTTGGTCACTACAGTGTCTCTCTGCATTGAGCTCTTTTTTTCTTTTTTTTTAAGATTTTATTTATTCATTTGAGAGAGAGAGAGAGAGAGAGCATAAGCCAGGGATAGAGGCAGAGGGAGAAGCAGACTCCCCACTGAGCAGGGAGCCTGATGTGGGACTCGATCCTGGACCCTGGGACCATGACCTGAGCCAAAGGCAACTGCTTAACCGACTGAGCCACCCAGGTGCCCCTCTGCACTGAGCTCTTTTTTTTTTTTTTTTTT